ATCATTTGGTTATGATTAGGAAAAGATCATGTTTTGGCTTAAAACACCCTCATTTGTTGGCACAGAAGTCAGTGGAAAGGCAGGGGTGGAACAGGAAAAAACCCCTGCATTCAGTGGCTAAAACACCGCTGGGAAATGCTGTGAAGGGGTTGGTAAAACAACCTGGGATTGGTGGCTCCAACGCCACTGAGAAACGCTGCAAAGGGTGTGGTAAAAGAACCCGGGCACCGTGGCTCAAACACTGCTGGAAATGCTGCAAAAGGGTCAGTAAAACAACATGGGATCAGTGGCACCAACCCCACAAGAAAATGCCTCGAATCCTGGCTCAAATGCTGCTGTGAAATACTACGAATGGTCAGTAAAAATGCTCAGCATTGGTGGTCGAACGCCACAAAGGGTCTGTACAAACACCTGGGGTCAGTTGCTCAAACACCACTGGGAAAGTAAATGCAAAGAGTTTGTATTTTCAGAGAAACTGGACTGAGGAGTGATAGGTGTTTCCTTTTTGGATAACAGGCTATCGGAGAAATGGGCTTTCAGTCCAGTGGGACATTTTTTGGACTAATGGGGCTTAGGAATTTTTGGGCTGTCGGAACAATGGTATGGCACACTCTGAACAGGCAATGAGGTTGTAGGAGACTTCTAAAGTTGAGCTTTGATGATTATTTGATTGATGTTGATTTTAATAAATGAAAGCCACTATGTGCAGTATTTTTTTTTTAAATTGTGGCACCCACCAGTGGTAGCATCAAAAGACATTGTGGCCAACAGTGATGTACATTGATACACTGCCCACAAAAATGTCTAGTGGCTCCTTCACTCATGCTAGCTACGTCATTGTAACATTAACCTCCTAGCTATCGTTCGCCATTTGAATCTGGGTCAGAGCAGCTTTCTGAGCTGACTGAAAAAAGTTCATTATATTATTATTTGAGTTTAAGGCCCTCTCCTGCTTCCTCTTTTGTAGTTCCCAGCATAGTAGGGAAATTCACTCAAACATTAGTTAATGGTTAGTTTAGATCAGTAAATTTCTCAGACCATGCAGCCCACCACCCGTGTTTTCTTTTTAGCAATAGTGCAGAAAAAAAGAGACTCACTTTTTAATGAGAGGGGGTTTTGTTATGAAACAGGACACATTTTACTAAAAACAAAAAAAAAATCCTTGGTGCATATTTAAGTTCAAAATAAAATTTGGTTATTATTGCTGGCTTCCATGGGCTCCCCCTAGCGACTGGGCCCCCCTTTTCTCCTCTTATGGACTGCCCTGGCTACACCCTCAAAGTAACTATGGAAACACCCATCCCCTGGACACTGAGAATCAAAGGCTAAAAGCAACAAACAGCCCCTGTTTGATTCAGTTTGTTTACAGATCAACACAGCATAGCAACAGTGCCAGTTCACCAACAGTAAACTAGAGGCCAAAGTCTGAAACCAATTTTCACTGGAAACGACTCTTTTTTCTACAAAAAAAAAAACAACCTGACGGAAAAATCATTTAAAAGATGCTGTAATTACATGTATTGCAAAATCGACACATAGTGGCTTTATATAGGTTTGAGGCATATTATCTTGTCTATATAATCAAATTTAATTTTCACCTTAACCCTGACCCTATATTTGAAAACTTTACTATATCCACATTTACAGGATTTGTAGACACTGACTGAGGTCCTGGGAATTACTGTAAAGACTGAGTCACAAAACTCCAGTGAAACCCAGACTGGACCTCCAGCTCTTATAGATGATCCATTAATATGTGAATACAATTCAACCTTGGGGCAAAATGTTACTGACTATTGTACAGCTTATTTGTAGAGTATGGATGTGGTATAAGACAACAAATCTATTGGTATGAAACACAAAATGTGGCAGAACAAACTTTCTAACAGGGATCCAGCATCAGTGAAAGTCTCACCACAGGGTCCCTCTTCTCTGCATCAGTCTCCTCTATTGGGGCGTAATTGTGTTGAAGCTAAAGTTAAAATAAGTTAGAGCGAATTGGTTTTCCAGTGACGGATGATGGATGTCAGACAGGCTGATAAACAGAATGGAGAGTCGCCCTCAGTGAGTTCACAGTAGCTCTGCCTCTGACAAAGTGCTCTGACTCCCTCTGCTGGCAGCTTCACGTAGGTGAGCTACAACCTACCAACTCCACTACCACCAGTGGTTAGCATACATAAACAGACATGTTTCATCTTCTGCTTCACATGCTCTATCACATAAAATGGATCCAAAAACGTTCCCACATACAGGATTTATTGCTGAAGACCCAAACAGCCCACCTCTTCTTCTTCACAGTATAAATATAGCTTAGAGTGTTTTTGCCATTTTGAGTTCAGTCACTCTCAGAAGCACCTCAGATATCACCACCTGTGAGTTACAAATCACCTCAAACAGTGGAGTGAGCAGGGGCATTGTTGTGGGGGGAAAAGTGGAACTGATTACCCAGGGCCCCAAAGGAAGGAGGGCCTGGAATGAAAAGTCTGGTTTTGTTTGCAATTTTCAAAATAATTAGTGACGTAACTAGATTAAATTGGCTGAATAAATCAGTTGAAGGACTGATTTAAAGGCGCCAAGTGGTTTAGTCCGCCCCTGCACTAGGATTCTTCTCTAAACTGAGCTACTGCTGAGTAGGTGATTGATATGCTGCTCATATATTTCCCCAAGAACAGGAAATCCCCATAAAAGAAAGGAAAGGGAAAGAATACAAACTGACTTTGAAAAAAAATTTCAAAATGTGCGTGAGAGAGATGGGCCCATCATGACTGCTTAAGCGTAAGGCCCAGAATTTGCTGCTACGCCCCTGGTAGTGAGAGGTTAACGAGTCATCTTCTAGTTTTACACATTGGCTGTTATTACAGCAAGGACACTGGCTGGTTGTACCAATCACTCTATGAGGTCAAATTAAATAACATTTTTAAAGACATAAAGCCAGTGATGCGTGCTGATGTCGCCTCTGGAGAACCAGAATATGACAAGATTGCGCAGAAGTCTAGTACACACAACTCTGACTTCATAAAGTTTTGGCCATTATTTCTAACAGTGTCTGATGGCATTTAAGACAAACTATTCCTAAGGTCTGGTGAGAGCAACCACTTAAAAATCAGGACACTAGGCAATTGTTGCTCTACACTTAAAGGTGCCCTGGAGTTTCCCTGTAAACACACAAATATCAGATTTACATTCAGTCCTCTACAAAACACACTGTGTGTATTCGTGGGGCCTAACAAAGTGTTGGATGCATTTCTGTTTTATGTTTTACCTCATGTATTGTCTCTGTCCGTGTTCACAAGCTAGCAATCTTCTTCCTCCCTGCCTTTGTTGGTGTATTGCTGTGTTTCTCACTGCGACCAACTGTCAATCAGTGGAATAGCCTGGACCCAATGTGAATCCCCTCTGCAATACATGTGCACCATGAATGTGTCAAGAGAACTGGACAAAGCATTGGAGGCGGGGCATTGTACATTCCTATGAAAGTTGCTTAGTGGAGCATGTAGCCAAGATAGTTCAACTTTACCAAAATTACCATGTCAAGTGCACTAGAGACTCTACTGGCTGAGCATGCTACTTCGAGTTTAGTGCTCCACTAACTTGAATTGGGATAAAATGATTTCATCATGTGGCTCCTCCAGACTTTCCAAATGTTACTGGACCAAATGCATTAAATTCTGATAGTAAGACAAGTCATTTCATGGGGGTTGTGAGGCTTAAAAAATTTTATCCACTGACCTTTACTGTGTAAGTCTATGGGAAAAGTATTTTTCCAGTGTCATCAAGTGACAGACTCTGAAGTTGTAATTTCACTGTGTGGTTATTATTAAAATTGGCTTCAAAGCCCAGAGCACTTCCTGAGGGCCTGGTCTGAGTTAACCTCGGACACTACGGGCTAGCTCATTTGCATTAGCTATTAATTCAGGGGGCTAATTTGGACTCTAACACAAGCATTTGATTTGTATATGCCCCGACATCTGTTTTACTGGTGACACATTTCCTAAATTGCGGTGTTAGCATGAGCCACCAGAGTTACTCGGATGGCCTGGATTGTTTGCATCATTAGGCACCATACAGCAAATGCATTAGAGACTTTGTCAGCCGAGCCAGCTTCTTTCAGTTTAACTATCAAGCCGGCTACTTTCGGTTTAGCCTTCTGTTAACATGAATGGGGATAAAATGATGTAGTGGTGCAGCTCTTCTAGACTTTTGAAATGTTAGAAAACTGAATGGACCATATCCCAAGAGTGCACCAAGTCATTTCACAGGAGCTAAAAAAAAATGTATCCACTGATTTATAGACATTTCCTTCCCAATGTAAGTCTATGGGAAAGTCTTTTGGGCCCAATGGCATGTCAAGATTGACCCAGAGGTAGTAGTTATACGGTTTGGTTGCTTTGTCAAACAGGCTTCAAATCCAGTTTGAGATCAGAGATCAGACATTCCAAGTGTCCCTTAAAGGGACAGTTCACCCCCCAAATCAAACTTACATATTCTTCCTCTTACCTGCAGCGCTCTTTGTCAGTCTACATAGCGTTGGTGTGAGCAGTCGACTGTTGGCGATATCAGCCATAAAGATGTCTGCCTGCTCTCAAATATAATGGAACTAGATGGCCAAGATGGCTTGGGATGCTTACGGCAAAAATTAAAAACTCAACAGCAATGTCTCTTTCAAGAAATCATGACCAGGTTACTCAAGGAAGTGCAGAAGGAAGTGTGCATCTACTTATGGATGAGAGGCTTGTGCTCATAACATCAGGAGATGTAAACATTAATGGCGTCCTCCTCAGCTGAGCTGAAACATTAGCTAGCTCAATGGTGCTAGGGAAGCTAGCAGTAGATGTACGCTTCCTTCTGCATGGTGATATAGTTGCCAAGTGTATTTTGATAGACACTTAATAGTTCCTACATTAAACTACTTACAACAAGGTCCGTGGATTATTTTTAGTAACTGGGTCATGATTTCTGCAAAGAGACATTACTGATGAATTTTTCAAATGGATTCTTTTTTGTGCTTTAAGCACCACAAACCGAGTGCCGATATCTCCAACACTTGGTAGCTCACAACAAAACAATCTAGACCAATAAATAGCTCCACAGGTTAGAGGACAAAATATATATTTTTGATTTGGTTTGATTGTCCCTTTAAGGCAAAATGGGGTAAACAAACAGTTGAATTAACTTATAACCTTTCTGACTGCTTGTGTAACAACCATTTGTGACTCCATTTGAACTCTGTAGCTACCTGTGTTAGTGATTAAATGTCATCAGAACTGGTGGGAATGATGGCCAAAACTATTAACACAAATAATTAAGTTTCCCTTGATAAGGTAGGTCATGTGCACACTGACCTTTTCTGGATCTGCATTATAAATATAGTGGTAGCAGCATGCAGTGCAGTGGTTGGAGCATTCTTGCCTCTATTAAATGACACCTGAGTGTGAGAGTCTTGGGCTCACTTGAATTAAAGGCAATATATGAGTGAAGCAAGAGAGAATGGGAGCAGTAGGCATTATCACACCTATTGCATCTACAGATATACTGGGTGAGAGACTAAAAAAATCAAAGGACCAAATCTGAATAGTGACTGGTTTATAAACTGTAAGCTCCTGTGGGCAAGATGCTCAAAATGGAAAAACAATTAGCAATCAGCATATGATAAAAAGGCTTACAGGCCATTTTAGGAACTCAAAGTAAAGATCCTTGGAAAAAAAGACAACTAATAATAATCTCCAGCTTTAAGACCAAAAACATACTCTGTGTAAGGACACAAATGCGGACGCTTCAGGCTAGAAAAAACAAACAAACAAAAAAAAAAAAACACTTTTCACACACTTCGTAATGAACTTCATAAACCGCTTAAGTACATGGATGATACAAGCACAACTCACTGAAATTCAAAGGCTAAGTTTAGTATTTTCCAACCCCGACCTTATTTTTATGTGTTTGTGTCTACGTGACTGATAGAAACAACAACTTTTCAAATTAGTCCAGTACTGAGTGAGAGCACTGCAGCCAGCAGTGGTGAAACAGGCTGCAATGTACCCCTGCAGGCAACTGAGCACCATCAATTTACATCCATATAAAGTGCTTGTTTATATCACTGGCAGCTTCAGATTGCTATTCTAAGTGTCTGACAACATTATTGATAGGATCCCCATAGAAACAGATCTTTTTGTTAAGGAGTATGATCTTTTTGTTTAACCAGAGACAGTCCTGAAATCCTCTTCACCAAATCCACTTGACTCCATTTAAATAAACAGTCATTTCAGCATGTATAGAGCCAACATATTTTCACATCTAACTGAGTAAATTAAGAATTTATTTTAACAGAACTTGAGTTGGTGATTGTTGGAATGGATTTTGTGGGTTTTATTTTGTTTCTATCAACTTTGAAGTGTGTTTAACAATGATAATATACTGTTTATATAAATGGAATCTGGTTGATTTGGTGTTGGCAAATTTTGGGGCTGTTTCTGGTTACACAAAAAGATATTACTCTTCAACAAAAGGTTTGTCTCTGTAGGGGTCTTTTTCAATAATGTTGTCAGACACTCAGCATAACAATCTGAGCCTGTCAGTGGCAAAAACAAACACTCGTGCTTAGTTGCCCCCAAGAATTATATTACAGCCTGTTTCGCCACTGCTGGCAGTGCCCAATGCTAGACCAATATCAAAAGTTGTTGTTGTTCCCATTAGTCATTTACACACAAAAACGTGGGATATAGAATCCAGGTTAAAAAATACCAAAAGTTACCCTTTAACTGCTTTTGACTATGTGATTAATTAGAGAAAAGAATATTCTTTTCAAGCAGTCTCAATCCGGTTGTTTAACCACACCACAGTCTGACTGACAGCTTTCTCATCAGCTCAAACAAACCATACTGAACAGGTTAACACACACCAGGGTTTGTTTAAACTAAACAGGTGTGAACATTTTAAATAAATCAAACCAAATGTGCAATGTTCTATTTTTTCCACAATTATCATGGCAGCCCAGCCTGAGTCCCAGTATCACCCAGTCACGTTTCACCTCCCTGAGGACATTAGACCTTTCTCCTATGAGTACGTACAACCAGTTTGTCATTTGTGTTTGTGCACTTACACAGAGGATGTTTCAGCCATTATGAAGAGTAGACCCCCCCCCCCCCAACCTATCCCATCACCCACTTTCACCAACAAAACAACAACTACCAGCACTGAAACATGCAGAGGTATATAAATAACCATTAATATATCGTACAAAACACTGAGCGCTTCCAGCAAAATGCTTCTCTGCAACAGCAGAGTCATCGTGTCTGATTTCAAACATAGAAGAAATCCAGATGAAATGTCATTGTTTAAAAACGAAACCACAACATTAAAAACAACTGTAGGTGATGCAGATTGAATTCCTGGTGTATATTTCCTATTCCTACATCACACCAAGGTGTCACCCAACAGTCCTTAACTCTGGTACAGCTACAGCAGGGTCATTTGTCATTGAACAGTCATATCAAGAAAACCTCCCAACCAGGAGAGGCAAAGATGCCAACATCTCTATGAACATCTATAGACCAGAATGCAGTGCAGCCATTAAAGATGTTGAGTTCTGTGTAAGGGTTGTGACTCTCGCTGTGTTCACTGGAAAGACTGTTCCCCCATAACCCATGCGTCACTCAGGAGGTGCTCAAAGGTGTTAAAGGCTAATTCTGGTTTACTAAAACAACGACCCAAATCAGGCCTATACAGTACCTGCTTCTATTAGATTCAACTGAGCCCAACTAGTTCAGCCAAATGTAAAATCCGAACCTGACCTGAGACCTAAAGGATTTTTTTTCATTTTTTGACCGAAAACTCTATACTTGGATGAGACCTGTCGCTTAGCAGAACTCAGGTCTTATTTTCAGAGGCCATCATTTCTATTGGTTAAGAAGGGTGACACAGTTTATCAAGATTATCTTAACCACGTTATTGGAAGTCAAGCTGAAAGCGAGTGCGACGGAGTCCATAACAATTTGAAAACACTAAACAGCTGCAGCGCTAATGCAATACAACTACAACAAGTACAGTTTTTCAAAGTTGAACCAGGAAGTGGGCTGATCTTCACAAATGGGTAATAATTTGGCAGATGCTATTTGCACCCAGGTGTCCTGACCATCACTACTATTGACACTAGGGTGTAAACAGCCAATGTAACTTTTCACACTCAGGTGTAAGTAGTTAGACTAGCTGTAGCTACTTACCTACATATGTAGCTAATAGTATTTGGGGATAAATAGCCAATGTAGCTGTTAACATCTGTGTGTAAATAGCCTTTGTAGCTCTTCATGTCCAGGTGTATATTCCTGGGTGTCCTTGCAAAACAGGTCTACTCAGCTATTCTGCTAAAGGTTATGTACATAATGTACATGTAGCAGCTTAATACATCCTAAGAATTGACAATAATATGTCATCTTATTCTAAAAATAATAAGCCCACAATGACTCACTCGGGACTCAAACAGTCTCCTGTGCTTTACCAGTTTTTTACTACTTTAATCTCAGAGAATACCCGAAATTGGCTAGTACTTGCCTTACCATGAACTCTTTGCTCTTACCCTTACCACCTTCAACCTCAACGTGTCACTTGCAGGGTTGGAAATTAGCACCAGCCACCACCCAAGTGCTGGTAGAATATGCCCAAAAAAGATCATCTACTGACTGACTGGTAGATTTAGAATCCACCAGCCTCAGTGGCAGGTGGACAAAAAGGTTAAATTCCAACCCTGGTCACAAGTACTAGTCTATCACAGCACACAGTGGGGTCCATAATAACGTGGCAGAGGAATGGGTTTAAACAGCTAAATAGCTGCAGTGTGACTATTCTCACCACAGTGCAAACAGACGCTTTGTAATAATTTTACTGTTGCCCTGGGATTTCGTTTCCACTTGTCTGACTGGACTTTTTTGTGATGTCTTAGTTTCCAAATCTTTCCAATAACTTTCTCATATAACTCACATTAATGGCTGCCAAAATTACTAAAATAAGACCAAAGTTGTATTAACCAGAATTATCCTTTAAAGAAGAGGCAGCAGTGGAATATGAGTACACCAAAAAGGTACATTATGATGCTTCATCACAAATTGATGAGATCTGTCAGCATGAGAGGGTCTGAGGAGGAACTGTCCTTCAGTGTTGTAACTACACTAAAACCAGTATCAGTATGGCAGCTAAGGCCAAAGATTACAAAGACTGTCCTTCAACCAGACAGTCATACTTCATTCCCATTACGAACCCCCCACCTGCCCAAACTGAGTCAGCTGTACTTCAGCTGATTAACGGAAATATGTCATGTAAATGCATTGACATATCCAGGGTCCATAGACCATAGAAAATGGCTACAGATTTCCCCACCTCTCCATGGCAACATAGTCCACATGGCTGTTAACGCTGTAGGTCCAAACTGGACCTTACCTGAACCCTAACTTGGCAAAAATACGCCCTTACTGCTTCATCAGTGGAAGGTGACGTGACAGCAGCAGAGATGTGTGTGGGGACAGGGATCAGGAGAGGCAGAGGGAGCTGGGGGAGGAGGTGAGGGTGCACACCGGTGTAGGGAGACCGTAGTAGGAGGGGTCAGTGAAGGGGAAGAGGAAGAGGAGGAAGAGGAGGACCCCCATCAGGTAGGAGGAGAGGACGGTGAGGCGGTGGGGGTGCTCCATCGCTGTGCTGATAGCAGGAAAACCCATGTAGTTACAGAAGGAGTGGCAGAGCACTGGACCCATCAGGTGACCTGCAACACACATCAACACTGGAGTTAAGTTGGGTGGATTTCCGGTTTTTGTCAGTCCAGTTTGTTGAACGAGCTGGCATTATCTATTCTCTAGGTTCTTTAATGACTGTTATTAATGGTACTTAAATACCCTGTTAATGATGTGTTCAGCAACTTTTGATGCACAGTGTTAACTCCAACCTGTATTGCATCAGTAATCAGCAAAATGACAACATGATTAAGATAATATTATGTTTATTTATGGACAGACCAACGGAGCAAAAAGTGTCTGACAGGCAATGAGCTGAGTACGGCAGCATGAAGGACATCAAATTTTAGTAGAGGTGGGCGGGGGAAAATGCACACATTGTATTTGTTTAATAGAAATTTCATGGGTTTTTGGGGTGATGTGACAAGACAGGCTCTCTAAAGCCTATCAAGCTTTGCCATTCTGTAATATAACACATACAAACACAGAATTAGGGGGCATTGTTGTCCTGTTGTTGAGCAAGCAACAGGAGTAGTAAAAGAGCCGAGTCACAGAAGCCCTGTTTCCACCAAGCAGTCCGGTACAGTTCAGTTCAGTTCGGAACACATTTTAATCGTTTCCACTGTGAAAAGTTGCAGATGGTACCAATAGAACCATTCCTTACCGCCCCCATTTTTTGTCACCCCTCTGTTGGGGTACCTAGCACACAGAGCTGGTACTAAAAGGTGGAGCTAGACACACTGCAGTCTGTTGACTGGTCAATAGTGGACGGTCAGTCTTGCTCAGGACAATGTTGTGGCTGGTTTTGAAGCTTATATATCAACTGTTCATACCGTGGCAAGTCTTACATACATTAGCAAACTAAATTATAACTAGAAAATGAAACAATGTTTTGTTGCAGCAGAGGTGTAGACTGAGAAAAAAAACAATTCAATTAACTCGGTCAGCTGCTAGCAACTCTTAATGTGGAATGTTTACTTGTAATATTACTCAATACATGAGTTGACGATGCAAATCCATCAGACCACCCTATTTTAATAGGACATCTTTGACTGTTCTGTCAGTTTTTAATTGTCTCTCTTGGATGACATATACTTTTAGTAAGTGGATCTTCAAACATTTAAAAATATATATTAATTTAGATTGGATTATGTGAACTGCATATATTCTAATCCTCCCTTGGAGAAGAGGAAAAGCATTCTGGTGGGCTCCAGCAACACTAAACCCCAGTGCTTGCCTTGCTGCACCTGTGTCTTTAGCTTTAAAGGTAAGGTGTAAATGCAATGCTCCTCACCTGTCCTGATGAAGATGAAGGCAGTGTAAGCCCCAAACACTGCTGTGTAAGAGAACTGGAACACTGTTGCAGACCAGAAAAACAGGAGTCATCATCAGCTTCTTCATACTTCTGTATCTCCGACTGACAGCGTCATACAGTCACAATGAATGCACAGTACAGATGACACATGATTGAACGCATCAGTTCTTACCTGCAGAGAGGAAGATCCCTGACAGCGTTCCCTGTCTGAACCTCAGCAGCTCAATCACATGGTGGAAATGAGCTGGAGGAGACACATTACATCAGCCATGAATCTCATGTCCTTATATGCCCTTTTCTCATGTCATGTCCTTGAAACACTTTGTAACTGTGTTTTGAAATGTGCTGTACAAAAAAAGTCTATTATTATTATTATTATTTTTATTATGACTGCTACATGGATTCAAAACTAAATGTAAAAACAAAATAGATAGGGGTGGGGCTATTCATCAGTGTAGTCGACGTCATTGATTCCTCCTGTTTACTTTCTTTCCCCAACCATGCATGATATATCATGATTATCAACACGCGGAACATATTTCTGTTAGTAGTAGTCACTTAAACTTTCTGTACCACTGCTAATGTAACACCATGCACCATGCTGTTATAGAGCCGTTTTATATTTTCTGTTTAAAAATAACTGTTCAAATTTTTTTTTTTAAAAAAAGTTTAATTTTACCATGCAAAGACACTAGCTATATTACCAAAAGTATGTGGACATGGATGTTCAATGTTTGTGTGTGTGTTGGTTTGGGTCTGTTTTTCTTTGATTTGGGTTCCTTAGTTACAGTGAATAGAAATCTTAATGCTCCAGCATACAATTTATTTAAGAAAGCTTTCTCCTGTCTTTGTACTTTTGGCCATGTAGTGGACATATGAAAATGAATGGAGTCTTGGAATGGCGGTTAACACCAGTGAAGTTAATCTTACAGTTTACATCCATGTCTGTGAAAACATGGATGCTTCACACAAATTTTCCTCCAGAAGCACAGAAGAGCAATATAATCAACACAGTATCAAGATGACTGTAACCAACAGGCATGAAAATGGGTCAGGCGTGAAAAAGGTGAGAAGGATATGAGACCTGGCACCTGCTAGGGGGTCCCGGGGTTATGCTCCTCGATTGTTTTGTTTTTTTTCGGTGGAAAAATGAGCTTCCAAATGCTCATATCTGATTTCTTTTAGATTTACTCTAGTGGTGGTCACATGCAGAATTATAAGATTGCACAAAAACAAAAGTATGAATGTATAATTAAGTGCAAATGAAGTATCTTTACATGTTCACATATGCTGTATAACAGACGAGACCAGGGGCAGACTGGGACACAAATTAAAGCCCGGGACACCGGCCCACAGGTTTCTACCTATAATCCTCTATATGCTTGTACACACTACACAAACACTGTCCTCAGAATCAACTGCATAAGAAAATCAGCAGTTATTGTTTAATTCCAGACTATAAAATAAATGCAACAAATGGCTATGTGCTTATTATTTAACTTAAAATACAAGCATATGACTCTATCCTAATGCATCTAATTTTATGCACAATATAATTGTCTGCCCTGCCCTGCCCTGCCCAGCCCTGCTCTTGTTTTACATAACCCCAGTTTATATCTCCATGGCTCACAGCCATGAACTAAGGAGGTATAAATTGGGCAATAGGCCCTATTGTCAACTTTTAGTCAACTTATTACTACAACAAAAAAAATCCCACTTAATCCTACTTAAAAGGTTTTCGTCTGGCTAAAATGTAATGCATAGTAAGCTATGCCTTCACATTGCACCTCTCATATTTCTGGTCTCATCCTCCTCATCACAACTGGGGTTAGTCTGTCCCTCAGCTTCATTGTCCTTGGGACTGGGAGCACCACTTAACGTTAATTACATGCATCCACAGGAAAAAAGCAAGCACATATTTTCTTTTAGTACAGGTTTAAATTATAATGACTTACAATACCTAGTAGGCTAGTTGGCCTCTTGAAACGGACACCTAGAAGAAATATGCAATTTGCCAAAGCCAACCTTGCACATTACACACTCACGAATGTTAGCTAATGTTAATACACCTGCTATAATGGAACTGTCAGCTCCAGCTCCAGCTCCATCTCCGTCGTTAGCAACACCAGCAGCCTCAGCCTGTCAACCAACGCCACGGCCAAAACAGGTCGGTTATTTTGGAGCACTTTGCTGCCTCTCCTTGTACAGAAGTTTTTTTATTTGAGTTTTTTCCGCGCCACCCCTTCTTGTTTTACCGACTTTATCCATGTTTTCTGTCTACGGTCAAACTAGCCTGGTCTGCCATGAGTAATGACTGATGACTACAGCTGAGCCAATCAGATTTCAAGAAAAACGAGAGCCTCTTTCGTATTGGAGGAGGCCACTCTTATCTCCTCCTTCAAGCATCAAAACATAAGATTGACCTACGTTCCCTCTGAACATCTCACAGCAAACAAACAACATGGGAGGGACGCGCATTACAGTACTGACAGCTAGCAACTAGCTTGACATTCACTAGTCTCAGCAGGCCAGCCCCACCGGCCCACTTGGTGACCGCCCATCGGGATTTGTCCCGAACGTCCCGATGGCCAATCCGCCATTGGACGAGACTGACAACTTCCCTCATGAAATGCCCACCCGCATAGAGTGCCGAAGTCACGCCCCTTCCGGTGAAGCTCATGAGACCTTAGATCGGAAAAAAATGAATGGCAGTGAATGAGGAGAGAAATATTATCTCTTGGTCCCGTCTGAGTTGCGACATGAAATCCAAATATGTCGTTAATGAATTTAAAACATAAATTTTAAGGTCAAGAAAGTCATACTTTGTGGTAAAACTGTTGAGATATAAGCTTTTGAAAAAAACGTAATTAGAAAAACTACACAGGAGGCGGTCGTGTATGTGATGTCGTAGCTTTCGCTCGCTTCCTGCAGCTTGGAGTGACTGCAACCTGGCACAAAACACACAGACATCTTCAATCATAAATCGATTAATCATAAAACAGTGGAATTTCAGCGGGGAGGCCAAGCTGCAGGAAGCGAGCGAAAGCTATGACATCACATACGCGACCTCCTCCTGTGTACTCTTGAGTCTTTCTAATTAAAAAGCTTATATCTCAACAGTTTTACAACAAAGTATGACTTTCTTGAACTTAAAATGTATGTTTTAAATTCATTAACAACATATTTAGATTTCATGTCGCAACTCAAACGGGAACAAAAGATAATATTGCTTTCCCCATTCACTGCCATTCATATTTTTTCCGATCTAAGGTCCCATGAGCTCTACCGGAAAGGGCGTGGCTTCGGCACTCTATATGTTAGCTACGTCTTTTTTCTGTGGCTTTGCTCCACAGAAATGCTGTGTTCACAAGGATGGGACAGATGAACAACCTGAGAACATAATCTGGCCACGGCTATCGCCAGTGCAGAGGCATAAAAATATACAGCTAACAGTTAAACTGCTGAAACTTGCAAACACTGGTATGGCCCTTGCTTTTAATCAAATAAGATAGATGCTTATTATGCTATTAGCCATTCACTGAAGGACAAAGTAACATTATGAATATACTCATAGTATTTAAAGATGAATAGCTTCAGTAATAGTGTGCCAGTGACAGAACTCACCCACTCCAAAGAAGAGGGGGCAGGTAAAGATGGCAGTGAAGGGACCAGCACAGGGCACCAACATGGGCAGCATGCAGGCCCTGAACACCAGCTCCTCTGTGAGCGGTGCCACCACCTGATTCCTCAACCAGCGCATGTCACTGAAACACAATGACCAGAACCAGGGGTCTGCAGGAAGACAGAGACAGAAGAGGAGGTTATTTCCTCTGTTACCACTTTGTTACAGTTCACTGACAGGTTTTACACTGAAACAAAGTCTTCCTGCAAAAACATTAAAACAAAGGAAATGACTGTTGTTACGTAGTGTCTGAGTTGAGGATACAAGTTAAACTGTGTCAGAAGCATTATTATGACAGTATCCAGCATGTTGGCTGTCTCACCTACAGCCACCCGGATCCCATCCATGAAGCTCCAGGGGCAGTCTGTAGCCAACTGCATGAGGGGGCCCAGAAATAGGACCTGCAGCACAGGACCACACACAAGACAGGCACGAGGTTGGATTTGACTAGCAGGGCTTTTATCACTACTCATGAAAAGAAACTGCTTATTATCACATCTGATCATTTTCCATATAAAAGCAATGAAATACATGTATCACATATTCAAGTAATTCTCAATATTGTGTCACCCAGTCACAGGCAACTCACCACATATGAGCTACAAAGAGCCATTTCTAGTCTTTATTGTCACCCACCTAGGTACCCTCGTTGTCAAAACTGCTCACTAAACTCTGTTGGAAGTATGTACAGTACAGGCCAAAAGTTTGGACACACCTTCTCATTCAATGCGTTTTCTTTATTTTCATGACTATTTACATTGTAGATTCTCACTGAAGGCATCAAAACTATGAATGAACACATGTGGAGTTATGTACTTAACAAAAAAAGGTGAAATAACTGAAAACATGTTTTATATTCTAGTTTCTTCAAAATAGCCACCCTTTGCTCTGATTACTGCTTTGCACACTCTTGGCATTCTCTCCATGAGCTTCAAGAGGTAGTCACCTGAAATGGTTTTCCAACAGTCTTGAAGAGTTACCAGAGGTGTTTAGCACTTGTTGGCCCCTTTGCCTTCACTCTGCGGTCCAGCTCACCCCAAACCATCTCGATTGGGTTCAGGTCCGGTGACTGTGGAGGCCAGGTCATCTGCCGCAGCACTCCATCACTCTCCTTCTTGGTCAAATAGCCCTTACATAGCCTGGAGGTGTGTTTGGGGTCATTGTCCTGTTGAAAAATAAATGATCGTCCAACTAAACACAAACCGGATGTGATGGCATGTCGCTGCAGGATGCTGTGGTAGCCATGCTGGTTCAGTGTGCCTTCAATTTTGAATAAATCCCCAACAGTGTCACCAGCAAAACACCCCCACACCATCACACCTCCTCCTCCATGCTTCACAGTGGGAACCAGGCATGTGGAATCCATCCGTTCACCTTTTCTGCATCTGACAAAGACACGGCGGTTGGAACCAAAGATCTCAAATTTGGACTCATCAGACCAAAGCACAGATTTCCACTGGTCTAATGTCCATTCCTTGTGTTTCTTGGCCCAAACAAATCTCTTCTGCTTGTTGCCTCTCCTTAGCAGTGGTTTCCTAGCAGCTATTTGACCATGAAGGCCTGATTGGCGCAGTCTCCTCTTAACAGTTGTTCTAGAGATGGGTCTGCTGCTAGAACTCTGTGTGGCATTCATCTGGTCTCTGATCTGAGCTGCTGTTAACTTGCGATTTCTGAGGCTGGTGACTCGGATGAACTTATCCTCAGAAGCAGAGGTGACTCTTGGTCTTCCTTTCCTGGGTCGGTCCTCATGTGTGCCAGTTTCGTTGTAGCGCTTGATGGTTTTTGCGACTCCACTTGGGGACACATTTAAAGTTTTTGCAATTTTCCGACTGACTGACCTTCATTTCCTAAAGTAATGATGGCCACTCGTTTTTCTTTAGTTAGCTGATTGGTTCTTGCCATAATATGAATTTTAACAGTTGTCCAATAGGGCTGTCGGCTGTGTATTAACCTGACTTCTGCACAACACAACTGATGGTCCCAACCCCATTGATAAAGCAAGAAATTCCACTAATTAACCCTGATAAGGCACACCTGTGAAGTGGAAACCATTTCAGGTGACTACCTCTTGAAGCTCATCGAGAGAATGCCAAGAGTGTGCAAAGCAGTAATCAGAGCAAAGGGTGGCTATTTTGAAGAAACTAGAATATAAAACATGTTTTCAGTTATTTCACCTTTTTTTGTTAAGTACATAACTCCACATGTGTTCATTCATAGTTTTGATGCCTTCAGTGAGAATCTACAATGTAAATAGTCATGAAAATAAAGAAAACGCATTGAATGAGAAGGTGTGTCCAAACTTTTGGCCTGTACTGTATGTATTTGTATTTCTTAATGCACAGCAGAGCACTTCTCAGCAATGAAGCAAGTTAATAACCATCAAATGTGCATGATGTGCATTTATAACTGCATTTGAAGGATGACTTTAACTTGAAAGTCCAAAAACGACAACTTATCCAGGGAGGTCATCCATTCCCTTTATTTTCCAGTCACTGTATGTTCACTATTGTACAAGTACTAAATATATTCAGTAGACTGATATGTTGATGCACTTTATTTTATGGCCTGTGGTCATTCTTCAGTTTAAAGGCTATATTCAAAGCATTAATATAGCAGTACACCATATTTGCTATTGAAAGATATTGTGTTGAAATGTGAGCTTCTTTGTTCTTTGTTGTGGTAAACAGTCTGGCAGCGCATGCGTGTGAGTCCTGGTTTGTGTATCCCACTGGCTAGCTAATCGCTGCTCTGCACTGCCCTCCTATAGCAGTTAGCTATGTTAGCTCTGTCAGCACTGTTGTTCACGCTGTTAGCATTATTAGCTACTAGCTGCCAGCTCAGACATCCTCATGTTGGTACATATATTATACTACTTCTTACTTTTACCCATGTAGATTTTCACACGAGTGATCTGACTTTTACTTGAGTAAAATAACTCAGTATTCTCTCTGCCCTTTACCTTTAAAATGAATCCTGTGATGTCATGTCCTGTGTAGTTGGGAATAATATTCATAACAATAATAAGGAGTTTCTGAAGAATGCAACAATGGCACCGCGTCATCAGACTCAACTCTGGCACCATCATTCTACTTTCAATATCAGAGATGTTAAATGCATAACCCTGTGCCATACAATAAACAAAGTGTTACTTACCATCTGTACACATATCCAATTTATATTAAGTTACTTCATTGTTTAACATATTTTGTGTAGTCTGGAGTAACTAAGCTGTGGGCTTCAATCAGTTTATATTTTTGGAAATTGGGACCAGTAAAACTATATCATAGAGGGGTTTTAAAGTACCTTAATTGCCTCCATGACCTGTGTGTCACAGCCTGACCTGTGTGCTGCTAAGCGTGTTGACAAGCTAATTGAATCAGCCAAATTGCAATAACTGACTTCCTGTTGTTTTCTGAACACTTGTCTGCACCTGTGTCTTTCACCTCACACGATATCTTGGTATCACAGGATGAAAAGCTTTGCCCGTTAATAAGGAGAGTTTCTTACCATGGTGAGCATCAGAGGAAGTACTATGGCAGGAATGAGACCTTCAAACCGGATCCCCATGAGAGCCAGCAACGATGGGCCAGTCTGACACACACACACACACACACACACACACACACAACTGCTTATGTATCAGACAGAAACATGACACAACAGCACAAAGTACAGCCAAACTTCTAAATGGGATCTTCAGGTGTTATGGGTTGTGCTTTCTGAGACATGGACTCACCCTGACACCTGTGAATTCTCTCCATGCCCACACAAAGAGAGGCGACAGGCCCGACACGATGAGGACACTGGTGAAGCGTCTCTTTATCACAGCGGGGTGATCCCTGACAAAATTAGCACACATCACATCATCGTCACCTGAACAGAGGACTGCAGACGCAACACAGCCAGCTGAGCAGAGAGACCACTTACAGCAGTCAAATACTACCAGCTCCGACATGCTTTGGTTCATGTGCAGAATGTTAAACCAAATCCCATTCAAAAATTGCATCGTTTTAATTCATTTGGCTTCTTGCTGTTCCTATCTTTGAGGCATTTTCTGTCATTTTGCCATAGCTACATCCCATCCACCCTGTGCTTCAATACTGACTACTTCTTGGCAAGGACCTGTAACTTCCTGGAGTCTCTGCTGGTTGCCTGGTAACTGCTCCCAACCGAAAACAGTCTGCCATTTAGCCCCCTGTAAAGCGTTGGATTGTTGTTTTTCACACTTTGGTTCTTGGATTAATCTTTTAGAAGATTAAAGAAAGAATAAAAGAATAATCCTAAAAATAATCATCTGATTAATTCATACTCAAAATAACTGTTGGTTACCAGCCAAATTGTTTTTTGTTAATCTGATTAATAACAAATTGGTAACTATATATATAGGGTAGGTGTAATGTGTTCCCAGAGAACTCTTGTGGTTGAGTTTTGGGCATACTGTAGTCTTTTTAACCCTAAGCATCAGAGGATGTAATAATACAAGGAATGGACATATTTAGGTGGGAGACTTTAAGTGGTGCGCCTGGTGAGGCTGTGAGTATAACCTCAGACTTATCCTGGTTAAGTCCACGGTAAGTGCAGGTCATCCAAGCATTAATCTCATTTAAGACGTCTGTCAGGTTGGCTGCATAGGAAAGGTGGAGAGGGATATGGGGAACCTAGAGCTGCTAATGGAGACAAACTTGTTTAACTGTGAGGTAGGATTTGAACCATGACAAGGGAGTACCAGTAACACAGCTAACCAGTTAAGCAGAAGATAATCGCAGGCCATATCAAAAGCAGCAGTGAGATCTAACGGGATAAGTATGTTTAGGTGAGCAGAGTCAACAGCAACAAGCAGCTCGTTGTTGACCAGGGTCTGAAATTAACTTTTTGACTTACTGGCTGAGGTGGCTGGTAGGTACTGTTAACTATGGTGGCCGACGCAAAAACACGACTGTCTCTGTGTAGGGCCAGTGTTTGGTTTGTCCGATCTGGGCTACTGTAGAAACATAGCGGTGCAACATGGCGGACTCCGTAAACGAGAACCTGCTCTTTATGTAGATGAAGGTAATGAAATCATGACTCTTATTTTCAGGTGATTACACACTAAAGAAAACATACTTATCATATTATATTCCATTTCTGCCAGTGTACCCCATAAATCCTACACAGAAGACATTTAAAAGACTTGTGTTTTGTTCTATGACATAAAATACATCAGTAAATACCCCACTTGTGGATTTGGAAGCTTTTACTCATCTTAGATAAAGCGGTTGCTGACAAGTGGCTCAGTGAGAGAATATTGTTATCAAGCACATTGTGTGAAAATGATACTGAAACCACAGACCATATATTTTTCCCCACATACAGTAGTGCAAGTATACATTTTGGCTTGACATTCACAAATGGATAAAACACAAAAATCTCATCATTTCTAGCTTCTGTCTCTAGACACAATATTACATTTGGTATGTTCTTGAAAAATAAATAAATAAAAAACTCCATTGTAATGTAATTCTATTTTTGAATTTAGAAATGCAATCTTTAAAATTGATTAAAGGAATACAAGCACAAAAGTGATAACATTTTCGCACTATATCAGATAACTAAAATAAATATAAATTTCCCCTTGTGTGTTAAGCTATTTGTTTCATTATTATTATCATTATCGTTATTATTATTATTATTATTATTATTATTACTATTGCTATTATATTATTATTATACAATTTTCCCCTTTTTTGTTTAATATTACATTTTTATTCAGTACTTAATGTTAGAGGCACTTCCTTTGTAATCAATTTTTAATCTTGTTTTGTAATGTTGACATTTATTTATTATACTGTTGTTTGCTTTGGAAATTTCTTTGTACATCCCTGTACTCAATAAACGTTAATAAAGGTTGCCATACATGTTCTGTACATTTTCTATAAAAAAAAATAAATAAATAAAAAAAAGGAAAAAAAATTCTCACACACACAAAAAAGAATGACATCAGCTCATAGGAACAAGGGTTGTAAACTGCTCACAGACCCAAGAGTTCAAGTTTTTACAGAGACGAGTTTTTACTCAAAACTTAAGCCTGCAACAAAAAAGTGAAGCCTTTTACGGACCGCCACTTTCTGCCACAGACAATTTATCTCTTCCACGCACAAGTACAGTCCACTAACAACAGTGCCATAGACAGAAGAAATAACACAAAAAAGAGGGTTGGTCAAAATGCCCTTAATAATGCTCAACAGGAGATACATCACCTGAAGGAGCAGATGGACAGCTTGTTGCAGCAAATTCTAAATTACAGGCTGAGAAAGAGAAGATTCGCCAGCAGGGTTACAAAGACCAAGAGGAAAGAAAGTGGCTGAAGGAGCTTCTCATTTCAAGAGAGAGGGAGTTGACCGCCGGAAACCAATATAACTACCACACCATCAAACAGCAGGGGATACAAATCTTCCAACTCAAAAACAGTCTGAAATTGCAGACAGAGCATGGGGAAACTGTCGGGGGCCTGAACCTGCAGTAGTTAGCATCCATGGCAAGACAGCTGGACGAAGAGACAGAAAAAGTCACAGAGCTATTAGAGAAAGAAGCTGGATTCTGCCAGTGTGAGAATGCATGGCAGGAGAAATACAGCGATCTGGAGGAGAGGTCCAGGAAGGAGCTCGCCAAAAACAGAAGAGAGATGGAAGATTAAAATGCAGCAGATGGAGAATGAGCAGAAAGAACTGGAGGAAAAGTTAAAAAAAGATGTGGCACAGAAAGATCAGGCCTGGAAAACAAAAGAAAAACATATGGAGGTGAAAGTTAAACAGCTCCGGGAAGAGAAGGCAAAGCTGAAAGAGCTCTGTTTGACAATTAAAAAGAAGAGGAGAGGTCTGCTTTGCAATGAGGATAGAGAGGCAATGCTGCTGAAGATGAAAAGCAAAATGCATGCGAAGAAAGAGAAGGCAGAGAAGGACAAGATGGAAAGAACTCAAAAGAAAGAACTGGGACCAAAAAGAAGGGTTTTTTTTCAGCTGGATGCACAGGAGGAAGAAGAAGTGTGACATCCTTAAAATGGTGGTAAAGGAGAAGGTTGGTGCTTGTTGTTACTCCCTCTCCCCCTGACTGTGTCCACCCTCTCACCTTGTTAAATTGAGGGTGACACAGTGGCAGTGGCTCAGTGATTAGCAGCGCAGCCTCACAGCAACACCTCTACCTGTCCTGCTGTAAGGAGTTTGTATATTCTCCCTGTGTCTGCGTGGGTTTTCTCCTGGTACTCAGGTTTCCTCCCACAATCCAAAAATATGCATTTTAGGCTAATTGGAAACTCTAAATTGATTACTGTTTGGGTTTTCTCCCAGTGCTCAGGTTCACCAGTCACGATCAATTAAAGATAAATACAAAAACAACAACAGAGACATAAAAAATATATATTTATATATTAATAATATTTTCAATATTAAATATTCTTAATTTATAATAATATTTTAATGATACAATAAAAGAAAAATTAAATTAGATTTCTGCATGCGTCTGGCTCTAAATATAAGATATACGGTTTATAAAGATTTGTATGACATAATGTTTCCCTAAAGTATCTTATCAAATATTGCTCTTCGAGTTATAATTTAAACAACAGTTTTATGTTTCACATGTGAGGTGCATTTTTCAAGATGTAAAAAACAATGTAGACATTCTAACTGTACCTCTGTACATCTTACATTTTTCAAAATGAGTGTTTAATGTGGCTTGCAATTTACACCCCTTTACAGCTGATAGGCTAATTAACACTTATGAAGTATTACTTTTAGATATCTACATTGACAAGAGCCTGTGATTGACCAGCATTATGTTGATAGATTGCTGGAAAATAAATTACAACTAGAGGGTAAACGCTGCATGCTGAATAGCTGATGCTACACTGCAATGCTGGCTTTAAACACTGAAACAATACCATTAATGTATAAATGATGTGCATGATTTAGAGTTTTTTGAGAAGCTGACGCTACACTGCAATGCTGGCTTAAATGTGGAAGAAGAAAGGTAGGAATGGGCTTAATTAGTATGACTGTTATTGAAAAGTTGAATGATACCAATACTGTGGAACATGTTAAGGTTTTTGAAAAGCTGATGCTACACTGTAATGCTGGCTTAAATGTGTAAGAAGCAGGTGAAGTAGTAGGAATAGTTGGAAAAGTGTAGATACATTTAATTAGTATGAATGTCATTGAAAAGTTGAATGATAACCATACTGTGGAAAATTTCAAGGTTTTTGAAAAGATGACGCTACGCTGCAATGCTGGCTTATATGTGTAAGAATGAGGTGAAGGAATAGGAATAGCTGAAATAGTGGAAATGGGTCCAATTACGATGAATATCATTAACAAAAAGTTGGAATACCCGTGGAATAAAAGGTGTATCTCTCTCACACAACTTTATATAAAAGCAAGACAAGTTATGTTTTGAAACTAGAAAGCTTAAACATGGAAGGTGAACCTCAGCTCAATGTCTATGAAGTTAGCTGTCCATATCCCATTGGTATTATTCAACTTTTCAATGATATTCATACTAATTAAACCTTTTCGTACTTTTCCAACTGTTACTACTACTTCACCTTCTTACACGTTTAAGCCAACATTGCAGTGTAGCATCAGCTTTTCAAAAACCTTGATAGGTTCCACAGTATTGGTATCACTCAACCATTTAATAACTTTTACGCCAGCATTGCAGTGCATCATCACCTTTTCAAAAAACCCTAAAATATTCCACATCATTCGTACATAAATGACATTATTCAAAGTTTACAGCCAGCACTGCAGTGTAGAGTCAGCTACTCAACATGCAGCATTCTCTAATGATATCTTCAACATGTAGTGCTTGTGACTTTAATTTTAAAATCCACTGAGCCTTATGGAAGGGCAATCCATGCCTGAATGAACATAGTAAGTTAACTGAACCACGTAGCAGAAAGCAATAAAACCATACTGAGCTCACAGAGTGTATCTCACACACCGCTCTGTGTGGCTCACCTGGGCAGGTCACTCCTCCACACATATAAACTGCCAACATAAGAGCAGGCCAGCAGCAGACAGGACAGCACTGACATCCAACATAAACCGTCAGGAGGTACGAAGTCGCCATTGCTGTGTCTCATCTCCTCTGTCACAAGGTTTGGTAATAAATCCTCCTCCTCTGCCATAACGACTGCCGGTTGAGACTGAAGCAAACAACTACTCGGCACCGGGACGGTTGCTGGACCATTTAACAAGGTAAAACATCCACCGACATGAGGTGTGAAGTTGTCAATAATCTCCTTTCAAAATGTGAGCTAACGTTACTAGCTTGGAAGCTAGCTTCTGCGGCGCTCTAGAACGACGTCATCATGTGGCGCGTTTTCTTTTCTTCTTCTTCGAGGTTGCACGGCAGCTGGTAGTTCTTATGTTTGGATTACCGCCATCTTGTGGAGTTAATTAATGGTCATGTCCTTTGTTAGGTTAGTTCCACGAGCTCTGTTCTTCTCCCAGAATGAGGCAACCATAGTCTTTCCTTTTTTATTTATGACAAGGACAATGTACAGAGCAAGTCTGGGAATAAAAGTTCAAAGATAAAAGTAATTTGTAACAAAAACAAAAAGGAAACAAAAAATATAGATGTACACTGTTTTTTGGCTTTACTACTAAATTTTTCAGTGTATTTTAGTCTGCAAAGTTCTTTAAAAACATGTTGAATGAGGGAGTACATTCTTTCCACTTACAAATATGAATGTGGTATTTACCCAAAATAATGACAAGATTAAAAGGATCTGACATGTTTGCATCCAGGTTGTCCATAAAATAAATTATATTAATGTTACAAAATGACGGTGTATTATTCCTTTTGTAGTGACAGCCAATTGTGAATATCAGACCAAAACAAATTTACACATGGACATTTAAAGAAAATGCATGGAACAAAAGGTATCAGGGTCTACTTCAAATTTGAATTTTTGTGAGGAAAATAATTACATAATTAAAAGGGTGTATTGCTGACACAATTTTAAAATGGGTCTCTGACTTTAGGAGCAACAGGACATGATAAGTAAAATGAAAAGGACATTTTCCTTAAAAGTGCCCTCCATATTATCCTGTACAGAGCATGAGTTGAAGTTGGCCAAGTTTTGTTTTCTGTTTTGTTTTTGTTTTTTTAAAACAACACACTAAACATTATGTTATCACATTTTTTATCCATCAAGTTAACATCAACTTTTTAAGAGGGTAAACTAGGTGCTGTCAGAGAAAATTGCATGCTGCTTTGTAACATACACGGTAAAGGAATGTGAATTGCTTTGCAGATTTGGTCAAAAACCTTTTCCTGAAACATAATAATGTTTATATATTATAATAATAATAATGTTACCATAATCTGTTCTGCCATCGACCTTCATTTCTCTGCTCAAATTAGCAACAACAGAAAAGGTAAATTAGTTTTTACATTCTTGTCTGCAAGGAGTCTTCTAGATTAGTTAATCAGTCCTGTCCTCGTTTGTTGAAACTGTAACCTGTGCTATTATTGACACATACAGAATATGAAAAGTAAAAACATCAAATCCAGAAGGGGTTTAATGTATTACAATCAATATGGTTTACAAAATGTATCTCTTAACATAATTCTGGTAACACTTTACAATAAGCATCATAATACTTTGTAAATTAACAGTTAAACTTTAGTCAATAGTTATTTCATTGTTAACAAACAATGACATGATAATTAATTTGAATGGTTTACTGTTGCATACATCTGAACATTTTACATGCTATATTAAGTATTTGTTAACAGTCAGTGGTTTGTAAACCATCTATAAACACTGCAGTGCTGTTACAATGTTGCAACTTATGATTATAATGCCTTGTTAAATGGCTTTAAAAATGTCTGATAGGTGGGTATATTGTTAACAGCCAGAATAAGAGGTGGGTACGCGTATACCCTCAACTACAGCAGTGATTAATATGGGGTGAATACAGGTAAAGTGGGACAGTGAAGGTTTATCATTTTTATCTTTATGTGTATGAACTTCCATTACTACATAGCAACACTGGGCTCATCATTAGCAAGTATGTGATTAAAAAACATAGGTGCTGTGGCTGTGACATCACTTCCAGGGGCGTAGCACGCCATATTCAACAACCTTGCAGTAAATCACAATGAAAAGTCAAATGATATGGTGTTCTAAGGTAAATAATGTTAAGGCTATAAAAATTTGAACAATAATGGGTAGCCTGTATTTTTGTTGGTGAACCAGAATTCTAAAACAAACAAACAAAAAAAACAAACATTCATGCACAAATTAATCTTTTTCTTTTTTCAAAATTTGACTTTGACATTGTCCTAGTTTGCAATTAGCATATTGTGAAAGTAGGACAGTGTGTTACTGGTAAAGTGGGACAGCCATTCAAGTAATGAGGGAGTTAAATCCCTTTTTAAGTGTCTCAGAAATTTCGCCAGCTAGCTAAAGGATTTACTTAACACCAAACCAGTGACAAGCATTTTTTATACATTGCCTTAGAAAACAAACAAATCCTGCCAAAAAAAGAAAGATAGAAAGAAAGAATAAGGAAGATAGAGGATAGCTTAGATGGCCGGGATATTTGCAATATATGCAAAGCTAGATGGTGATAAAAATGGCCCTGTTGTTGTTTTTGTTGGATCATGCATTGTTTGTCCCATGAGACATGTGGTGAGGAGAATGACCTTATAAAAGAGAGGTGAAACACTTGCACTGGCTGTATTGACATGTAAACTAACCTACTGTACAAAGAGCAGAAATCCAATCTAGCCTGTGAATTAATTATTAGAAGAGAAGTTCATGAAGGTTCCTCTTTTTAAATTTTTATGAAATTAATTAAACCCATTAAAAATATTGTAAGGGGGCATCCCTCCTTTAAAAAAGTGATGATTATTGTTGTTGTGTGTATTATTATTGTGTATTGATTAGGCCTACACTTAAGTAAGAATGTGTTTGAAGTGACTCAGTTTGCCAGTAAAGGGGTCCTACTTTGACAGCAACGCCAGGCCAAATGTGGTTTTGGATCACTGTGTGTTTGAGGAAGGATCATCTGTCCTCTCTTTAATCTTTCTTTTTCTCCCATAAAGTGTAGTAGAGCTCTTAATCTATTTGGAATAGTATCATATAAAGGGGTAAGGTATTTTTATCCTAATGATGCAGGAGGCACATTTTTATAAAGTGGTTACTTTACGAGTATTCACCCAATGTTTGTAACAGTAAACTGCCAAAATGCCTTAAAAGAATGGCACTGTTCAGGGAGACATTATGAAGCATGTGTGTTTTGGGATATTATTTATAGCATTGTCCACAGAGTTGTTAGCAGTTTACATTTGCCCAAGTTTAGGCTAACGTCTTAGCAATGGTTGACTTTATGTGGTTGGTAAACTATGACAAAACAAGTTGTTTGCCAAATTTTAACAGGTATCTTCATTCACATAATAATCCATTGCCCATGAGTTGGCTGACTGAACTGCCATATGTGCACTAAACAAATATCAAATATCTACTAGAATATATCCTGTGGATGTGCTGGGATGCATTGTCAGTGATGTATCCTGGGGTCATCGGTGTTTTGGGTTTTTTCAAATATCAGATACCCTCACCCAGGCGACCCAGCCGGGGGTGGTCAGTCCCCGGCTTGCAGCCCAGCAGCAGCTGATCACGGGGCCTCCTTTGTGGCATTGATGATAGATTTGATGGCCCTTTTCTTAGCCAGCCCCCCTATCCCTAGTTTGCTGATGACTCTGCAGAGTGACCGGCCTGTAAAGCCCCGACATCCCACTTCAATAGGCTCACAGCAGGTGTTCCCTGCCTCCTGCACTGCTCTGTCAGCTACTGGTGCTTGCAAGGACTGCATTTTTTCATCTGCGTAATATTGCGAAAATTAGGCCTATCCTGACCCGAAAAGATGCAGAAAAATTGGTCCACACTTTTGTTACCTCAAGGCTGGATTACTGTAATTCTCTATTATCAGGTAGCTCTAGTAAGTCCTTAAAAACTCTCCAGCTAATTCAGAATGCAGCAGCACGTGTACTAACAGGAACTAAAAAACGAGATCATATTTCTCCTGTTTTAGCTTCTCTGCACTGACTCCCTGTAAAATCCAGAACTGAATTTAAAATCCTACTGTTAACTTATAAAGCTCTAAATGGTCAAGCTCTGTCATATCTTATCATAGTGCCATATTATCCCACCAGAACACTGCGCTCTGACAACGCAGGGTTACTCGTGGTCCCTAAAGTCTCCAAAAGTAGATCAGGAGCCAGAGCCTTCAGCTATCAGGCTCCTCTCCTGTGAAATCATCTTCCTGTTACGGTCCGGGAGGCAGACACCGTCTCCACATTTAAGACTAGACTTAAGACTTTCCTCTTTGATAAAGCTTATAGTTAGGGCTGGCTCAGGCTTGCCCTGTACCAGCCCCTAGTTAGGTTGACTTAGGCCTAGTCTGCCGGAGGACCCCCCTATAATACACTGGGCACCTTCTCTCCTTCTCTCTCTCTCTCTCTCTCCCTCTCTCTCTCTCGTATCCTATTACTGCATCTTGCTAACTCGGCCATTCTGGATGTCACTAACTCGGCTTCTTCTCCGGAGCCTTTGTGCTCCACTGTCTCTCAGTTTAACTCATATCGCAGCGGTGCCTGGACAGCGTGACGTGTGTGGTTGTGCTGCTGCCGTGGTCCTGCCAGATGCCTCCTGCTGCTGCTGCCATCATTAGTCATTAGTCATACTTCTACTGTTATTATACACATATGATTATTGTCACACATGTATACTGCCAGATATTAATATATACTTTCAACATATTGTACCACAGTAGCCAGAACTATAACTATAATATTATTACTTTCAATGATGTTGTTGTAAGCTACTGTCATTACCTGCATATCTCTCTCTCTCTCTCTCTCTCTCTTTCTTTCTGTCTCATTGTGTCATACGGATTACTGTTAATTTATTATGTTGATCTGTTCTGTACGACATCTATTGCACGTCTGTCCGTCCTGGAAGAGGGATCCCTCCTCAGTTGCTCTTCCTGAGGTTTCTAACGCTTTTTTTCCCTGTTAAAGGGTTTTTTTGGGGAGTTTTTCCTTATCTGCTGTGAGGGTCCAAAGGACAGAGGGATGTTGTATGCTGTAAAGCCCTGTGAGGCAAATTGTGATTTGTGATATTGGGCTTTATAAATAAAATTGATTGATGTTTTTGCCCTTGAGCTTCATCCATGTGCTCCTCCCAGGGCACAGTTAGTTCTACCATGATCTCTTGTTTGGTGGAATCAAAATAGATGACAATGTATGGATGAGGGGTTGATGAGGCGATGTGTTCTGGAAACTTGGTTTTGGGGTATTTTTCTCTCCAGCCTTAACAAAGGTGATGATCCTCTGCGGGCGGTTGTGTTTGCTGGTGGTAATGGCTGAGGCTACTGTCTCTGCAACTGCTTTCAGCACTTGAAAGGTACTTCTCCAAGGGCCTTTGGGCAGCTACTTAGGATGTGTTCAAGGGATCCTCTTCCAGAGCAGGATGGTGTTTCGCCTCTGCCCCAGACATGGAGATTTTATGTGTAAGAATATAACAGTTCACTGCATTCACTATATTTAAAAAGCAGACAAACACTACATGGGAGGCTATAGGGAAGCTTGTGGTCAATTTTATGATAATTTTGATAATCCCTGTTTGGAAATAATATATATCAGATAAACAGTATGTCTACCCACAGTTCCTATGATGTGTGAAACACTGCCCAAACTTAATTAAGCCCCCATGTGCAGAAGTAGAAAACTTTTGTCACTAGATGGCGCCAAAGTAATAAATGTTCAAATCCCATACAGGTTGTGTAGCATTCATTATAACTTTGGATATGAGTATTTTATAAAACTCTGCTGTACTTTTTATGCAATCTTCAAAAACTAGAGCAGGATGGAGGCTTACACAGAAATGTCATGAAGAGATCTACTCAGCCTATGAAAACAGTTGTTAAGTATTTTTCTGTAACTTTAAAAGGAGCTTTGTTAAGTTTTAGAAAATAACGCTGTTGATATCATAGTGTATTTTAAAATTTTATTCATTTTTCTAAAACCTACTGCATTTCAAAAATGACAAGTCGTGCACAAATGTTAATTTATAAGGAACTCCCACTTGCCAACAAGATGACTGTTACATATGTAGCCTACTCGTGGCAGCACCTTATTATCCCCTGCTGTCAGAGGGTTGACAACAACCAGGCCAGCTGATCATTCTCCCGTCCATATTGCCTATAGCCCTCCACGTTTATTTGAAAATAAGCCTACAGTTTCCAGCAGTTTAAGCACAGTGGCGTGTCAGAGCTAAATCCTAGCATGCTAACATGCTGATGCTGAGCAGGTGTAATATTTACCATGTTAACCGCCTTTGTTTAGCATGTTAGCATGCAACCACGTGCTGATGAGTATTAAACACAAACTATAACTGAGGCTATTGGGAATGGTAGTTTTGCAGATATTTTGTCATAAACCAATGTATGTAAGCAACGTGGAAATGTTGACCTGATGATGGCACTAACTGACAAAGTCAATAGATCACCAAATATATTACTACTCATCCAGAGGGGAACATGAATGTCATGGCAATTCATCAAATAGTTACTCAGACATTTACCTCAAAACCACGAGTGTCAACCTCATGGTGGCAACAAAGGAACAGTCAGAGAATTACCAAAGTCAGTAGGATTCATCTACTGGGCACCATGGATATTGTTACCAAATTTCATGGAAATCCGTCAGTCCATCCAGTCGTTTGAAAATTTCACAAAAGAAAAAACTTTAATGTGAATCTCTTGGTGGCACTAGTGGAAAAGTCAGGGGGTCATCCTCTGGGGACCATAAATGTTGGTAAGAAATTTAATAGAAACCCATCAGTCCATCCAAAAAAAAAAAAAAAAAAAAAAATTCACACACAAAAAAAAAACCTTTGATGTGAACCATATTGTGCGGCTCAAGGGAGAGTCGGGGATCATCAGCTTTCTTATGATTCATCCTCTGGGGACCATAAATGTACAAAATTTCATGGCAATCTGTCCAGTAGTTTTGAGATATTTCAGTCTTGACCAAAGGAATGGACCCACCGACAGACATTACCATCCCTAGAGCCATGCCAGTTACATGGCCATAAAGCATCTGGTGTCCCATTGGCTTAATCAATATTGATACTTAACATTGATAAGGTTGTAAAGCTTATACAGCCCCTTTACTTTCATGTTGGTTGTATACAGCTGAAGGATTAACACCAACTACAACTTAGCAGCCCAAAAGTTGTTTCTATTTATGGCCCATAACTTATATGTTAAGTATTAATAAATCATTAAGTAACTTTTAAGAAAGCCATTAGTTAGCTTTTCAAACCATTTATTAAATTTGTCCTCCAGGAAAAGTAGTACCTTTGATTTGTTGTAAATGAAGAAAAGTTAACTTAGTGATGACCCCAGGGGGGAGCTGGAGGGGGCATGACCACCCTGATATGATTGCTTGGCCCTACCCCCACCACCCACCCTATGAAATAATTGGAGGCCATCATTATTGTCTTTAAGAAGCAGAAGCGTGCTTATTATTTTTTTTAAAGCTAGCACGAAGATAGTTAACTTGTGAGACTAGACAAAGCATCCATTGGTACTATAGCTTGTTGGGAAGGGGGCTAAACAATGCCCCAAAGTAAGGCTAAATTTTGGCAAGAGATGACCATTTTCAAAGGGGTCCCCTGACCTCTCACCTCAAGATATCTGAATAATAATGGGCTTGATGGGTACCCACAAGCCTCCCCTAAACTTGAGAAGGCTTGTTTCGAGTGGTGGAAGTACTTAAAGTCAGAGTAAATGTTCAGATTTCTTACCAGAAAATTACTTTGGTCACCCATTAGAATGTTACTTTAGTAAAAGTCTGAAAGTATCTTATATTTCTCTACTTAAGTATCAAACATAATTTGACAACATTAAATGTACTTAAATGGTAAATGGAAATGCACTTGTATAGCACCTTTCTAGTCATCTGACCACTCAAAGCGCTTTTTACACTGCAAGTCACATTCACTCATTCATACACTGGTAGCCTACAAGGTGCCATCTGCTACTCAGTTTTTAACACACTCACACACCAATGGAACAGCCATCGGAAGCAATTTGGGGTTCAGTATCTCAAGGATACTTTGACATGCATACTGGAGGAGCAGGGGATTGAACCACTGACCTTTCGATTGGTGGACGACCCACTCTACCTCTGAGCCACAGCTCAATACTTAAGTATTGAAAGTAACAGTACAGGTAAATACTGTTAATAAAAAACACAAGCAGTCAGAATTTTGAGAATTATAAAGTTTATTTCTTCGTAAGATGTACACCACCTTAAAAACTGAGCATACATTACACTTGAAAAAAAAGGTCTTTTGCACAATTCAAAGGATCGAAAGAAAAAAAAATTCTTCTCTCCCATTCCTTTATTCATCTGTCCATCCCTTCCTCCCTCCTTTCCTCACCTATTTTGTAGCAAGTAACTAAGATGCTTAGGGAAAATGTATTGGACTAAAAGTATATATTTAGAAAGAAATGTAACGGAGTAGAAGTGAAAGTTGACAGTTGATCATAATTTCCAAGGGCCCAAAGTGACGTATTTAAATTGTTTCTTTTGTCCAAACAACAGGCCAAATCCCAAAGACTACGAGCAAATGCGTACATTTAAGAAGATGGAACCACCAAATGTTTGATATTTTCGTGTGAAAAATGACTGAAACGATGAATCGACGATCAAAATAGTTGGCAATTAATTTTCTTTTAATCCATGAAATCGATTATTCGGCGAAGCTATAAATCGACTCATCGTTATAGTGCTAATAATAATAATGATGATCATATTAATAAGAAACTAAAGTAGTCTATATCAGTATGGAATTCCTTAACTTCCATATCTTCATAGTTTTTTTTAACTAATCTGTATACTTCAACAGTTTAACAGAATTCCTGAAATTTATTTATGACCTTTGGTTTTGGTGCCACCCCAAGATTTTCAGTGGCCCCCCATCTGGCCAGCCAGCCCAGATGAAACATTTCTTGGGGGCGCCACTGTCCCATCTTCCAGCCAGGAAGAGGTGGGGGTGCATTTACACAGTTTCTGTAAGTGATGCCTATTTCCACAGAATTGCATGAGTTCTTGAAGGCACCAGATTAGGAACCTCGAATTTACCAGGATCACGTAAAGACCAACACCATTTTCGCGTTACAAGATTTCTCTTTCTTTCTCGAGCCAGAGAGAGGGAGGGGGGGGGGGGGGGGGGAGAGAGAGAGACGTAGGCGTGACATCGGGGCTGTCTGCTGTTATATCCGGCAGGGATGAACGTGTCTCAGTCTCCGGTGTAACGTGAACGGAGGAGAGGCGATGCTACCGCTCCTGATACCCTGCGCTTATTCTCCCTCATCGTCTTCTTCGCTCCTGTTCTCCGTCTTAACGCTTCCCAGGCCGTACGGGGACTGACAGAACCCGCATCCAGACACACACGCACACACACACCCAGAGGAGGAATTACGCACAGATCCGAGCCGGTCCCGGACCTCCATTGGCAAACATCAGTGGGTACGGGCCTGTTTATCTGATTTCTCCACATCACCTGTCTTTATTCCAGCAGCAGCAGCAGCAGCCCCATCCACACAGAGCAGATGGCAGGAGACGCCAGCTGGCCTGTTGTCTGCTTTACTGCTCTTCAAGGGAAATGATGGAGGTTAAAGTCACCTTTTTATTTGTGGATTGTTGACTTTCTCATCTTTATTCAAGCTGACCTGAATCTTTATGAGGTAAATTGATTGGTAAGTGATGTCAAACTGTTGGAAGTGAAGCAAAATAAGACATTGGCTGGATTTTCTTCTTATTAGTGGCCATTTTTTATTATTTACATCTATTATTTACATCATTTATCTAAATCACTGCTGCTGCTGTTGCTGCTGTGTGTGTATGATAGGGAAATGTGTTTGTGCGTAAGGAGGGTGTGTGTGTGTGCGTGCTGATGTCTTCCCTATATGTAGTGTGTGTTGTCTGTGCAGTGGAATCCCCTGTGTACAAACCCAGCCTGCATGCGCCTTAAAAATGGCACAATAGCCTGTTTATGTTGCCCAAATCTGATATTTAATTGTGAAAAAGAAGAAGAAATAATAGATATTTTTGTGGATGCTGGTCTCTCATACTCCCCATTTCAAGCAAAGCCTGTTAATGGCCAGATTCGATCAGGTTACTACATCATATGTCATAATAGAGAGTAGAAGAAGTAGCATCCACACAGCATGGCCCTGGGAAAACGCAATCCACTGCAATCCGCACAGACAGAGCAGGAATAATAAGAGGAGATAGAGGCCATGTTTGAATCATCCCGGACCAGAAATGAAGCATTTCTGGCGCATTAACAGTTTCATGCAATATTTCCCTGCTTCTAGATGCTTCCAGGAAGCTTTTAGGAGGAAAGGATTTGGTGGGATGGTCAGGGAAAATGAGCTCAAAATGGCTCACAACACAAAAAGTAGTAGCAGTGCTCTGATGTTATTCATGATCCAACAATAATATAGTTTGCTGAGTGATGAGTCATATTTGTAGCGTGCTGGGAAATGACAGTTTTAGGCATATGGGCCTAAACATAGATCCTTGGCGATGTTGTGATTAGAGTTAGGCTGATGCCGGTTGCAGATATGTGAGACCAAAATATGTAAAATCAGATGGTACAGTCAGTGTCGTCCACCTCTGCATTAATGGGTATGATGCAGGTTATTTATTCATATTTAATGAAGAGATGATTTATGTAGATGCCTGTCTATAAGACAGCTGTTAACCTGAAGTGATTTATTCTCAAGTTTGGAGTTTGGATAAAATTACAACTATTTAGAATCTTACTCAAAAATTTGGCATTGAAGTAGTTACATTCATACATTTATGAGCTTTAAATAACAGTCGCACTTTATAGGCAGATACAGTTGTGGAATTAAAGAGCCTATATAACTTTTGAAAGAACAAATAACACAATCCTCCTCTTATAAATACAAAGTTGTATTAATTTGCAATAAAACACACTTTTGTTCAAGTCAGTACACTCAGGGTTTGTTGCTATAGTCTTACTTAGTCTGGTAAGTCTAGGGCTGGGTATCATTTAAAAAATTCTGATAGTACTAATAACTCTGTCTTTGAAGTGATACTGATACTACTAGAGTAGCTCATTTGATACCCATAATGTGAATGGAGGTGCGTGCCATACTTGCGAACATTTTGGTGGCATCTCGGCATGTCACATGGCACAGCTAACGTCACCTGATGGCTATTAAGGGATTTATTGAGGCACTCAAGTCCTCTCAGTGCCCGTGTCTTTGTTTGTACCATTTAACAGCTTTGTGTTAGTTGTTAGCCATTGCTGCTGTATTAACGCATGCTAACTGAGCAGACGCAGAACTTGCCGGAAAGAGAGCAGCTCCGGAGATTAGGGATGTACAATAATATCAGCACGTCATCGGTCTCGGCCAATAATGGCTTTAAAATTAAATATCGGAATTGGCCAACATGCTGATAATATCAGTACATCATTGGTATCAGCCAATTTCGGCTTAAAATTTAGCTATCAGAATCGGCCAACATTCCTTTTCTTATTTTGCATAATGTATGAATATTACATACATTGAAAGTATTGTATTATATTTCATGTCTCTATCTGCTGGTGGGCCATCATGATAAGAGTATGCATGCATTATATGATGTTTATTCCACTATAGAAGAGACTTGATGATCACTAAAATTAAGTCGGGAAAAAAGTGGATATATCAATATCGGTTATTGGTTAATGAGTTGTTACATAGCGGCATATTGGATATCAGCAAAAGATCCAATATCGTGCATCCCTACCAGAGATGGCAGCGACAGAAAATTTGAAGGGTGGGGAGTCGGGACGGTCAGAACACGCCTCTGGCACAAAAAGGATCAAATGTAGGTACTGTTTGACTGGAGATGTTTCGATACTACTTTGTTCTGGGTCATCTCATTCGATACCTCAAAGTATAAGTACTGATACCCAGCCTTATGTATGACAAGTAACTTATGGTGGTTAATGTTAGAAAACTTAGATAGATAATGTTCATAGCTGCCAAATGCAGGCAGAACTTGGCAGTGGTGTGTAACACAGTCACTCTTATTAGCCACTTTTGCAGATGGCACATGCTGTTTATACGCACTCAGCTGCACACAGAATACAAGGTATGTAGAGTATGTAAGGCAGAACCAGGGCTCACAATCATGAGTTCTGCCCGAAAAACTTATAGCTGTCTGCCATCAGCAACAGTTGCTTGGGTTAGCATAAGAAGCTGATTGGCATGCGTGTCAGTCAAACTAGCAGAAATGAAACACCAGAGCTGGAAGACCCACCTGCGGGTTCCTGTTCAGCTACAACAGCAACAGAAAGAGAGTTGTGTATAAGACGAGGATGGTGTTTTTTTGCCATTGTATTAGATGTGATGGAAACACTTACAACATGCTAAAGCTCATTTGACGGCATCCTCCAGATGTGCCAATCACAGAGACAAGGAAAAAACAAACCGGAGTCCAACTCCTTATCCCCGCTAATAAAACAATCACTGAAGCAATTGGCATTTACATGGAGTACTCCAGGAATGAGTCCTGAAACACAGAAATGAGTTAGCATTTTAGTGAATTTAGTGCTCCTGGTTCCCTCATCTTGATGTCATTGGGTTTTTGATTAGATGCCTGAAATAAAGTCTGTGGTTAACACACATTTAAAAGGCTTTTACATTTTGTTGTATGACATAAAATATGTCAATAAATAACCTGCTCATGAATTTTGAAGCCTTTATGTGTCTTACAAAAGCAGTAACAGTAGGCCACTAATTCTGTCTGTAGTTGCAGTATCATACTATCTGTAGTCGGAGCAGTGGCTGGTGCAGTGGCAGAAATTATAATAGTCATAAGGCCTATATCATTACCACCAGTAATAGTATAGTAAAGGAAGTAGTAGTAGTATCACAAGTAATAGTTTTAGTGGTGAAAGTGTCAGCAACCATAACAGTACCACCAATGCTGATAGTAGAGGTAGTTAACTGATAGCAGTATAAGTAGCTGTAGTATTACTTGGACTTTAGTACCATTAGCCTTAGTAATATTAACAGCAGTAGCTCTAGTAGCAGTAGCCTACTAGTTATATTAGCGGCAATTAATCAATTTAATAATAGCAGTAGTATTAGCAGCAGTATGAGTAATAGCTTTGATAATAGCAAAGGTATTACTGGTATTAATAGTAGCAATTGGTCTGGTAGTTACAAAACCAGTAGCATTAAGGATTCAGTATACTTCAAATAAGCAAAGAGAAGTAGAAACAGCACATAATCGGTTAGCTCTCTCTTTTTAGAAAGATCTTGAAACACAGGAAACTCAAGATAAAAAGAAAATCTGATGCAGTTTGAAGAGACATGGGAGCTATTATTAAGTAAGTAATTTCAGGTACAAAATAACAAACTGCCCAGCATGAAAACAATTTGATTCCAAAACTACAATGTGTTGCCTACACTCTCATCATTTCAAAATGTACTAGGGTTTTTTTTTAGACAAATACATGATAATCAGTCTCTAAAACCACTTTGTGTGTATGTGTGTGTTTGTGTGTGGCAGCAAGATGAGGTAACACAGTAGCAGCCCACCTGTCAGGCTCTTACGTAGCCCGAGGGGTCAAACTGAGAGGAGGTGAGCCTGCAATAACAAGAAGGGGAGATTTAAAATAACATAAAAATAGTTTTAGCTGCTGGTGAACTGTTCTGAAGTGGTTCTTTGAGCTCTATAGTTAAATACTTTTTTTTTTAAACCAGTTATTCTCCTTAAGTCACCTGAGGGAAAAAGAGTTTGTTTAAGGTAAGAAGGTTCCATTAGGGATTGTCTAAGGACTATGATTGTTAACCTATTAGTTTGATGTAGACGTGAATGAGGATATGATATGGGTGCTGACACACTGTATGCTGGCCTTCTAGATCTAATACACTGTACTACCATACTGCACACCATTTCCACTTCGTGTAGACCGAATCACAATGTTTGTTTACAATAACTTCCGGGTGGAAAACTTTTCCCCATATACTTGCATTGTAAAAGACATGTCTGCAAATCAGTGGATACAGCATCACGTGACTCTTTTCACTATCAGTATTTGATCATTTTGGTCAGTCTATAAGAGCCGCATGATTAAATCATTTTATCTCCATTTAGTAGCAAAGTGCTAAACAGGAAGCCAGCCACTTGCCCAACAGAGGTTAGCCACTCGGCAAGCAAAAGTCTCTAGTATGCCTACTCTATGGGTCCAGCAGTGCAGAAACAGAATGGAAGATCCAAGTGATTTTACACATGGAAGTTAAACTTTGTTGGCTTTATGTGCCACTGAGCAACTTTCATAGGAATGAATAGGCCCCGCCTCCAGCACTATCCAGTTCTCTTTATACATCTATGTGTCACCCACAGGTCAGCAGTTTAACTTGTTGAGTACAGTGTTATCATAACTGATGGCACTGATGGATAAAACTACAAAAATTAGGCCCACATTGAAATGAATA